CTGCTGATCACTGGCTGTTTACTCGGAGGGATCACAAAAAACTGAAGTTCATTATATGTGCGAATTATGGCCAGCTTTCCTTAAAAGTAGGACAAGTAAACGTCGGAATTGTGCCTCTTGGCGCCGGTGATCGACGAAACGTTCCAAATCACCTCCGTTCTTGTTTTGTTTTAGGTGTCTTAACATCCTCCAGGCACTGTTAGCATTCAATCCTGGAACGATTAAAGCCAGTTAAGAGGCGCCAAAACCCAACAATCAGGTGATTCGATGGTTTGTCACTTATGTACACAAGTGAGTACTTCCAGTGAGCAGCTACAAGTTAGATATTTTGACCCACGCTTACAATTGTTGTTATCGTAAATCGCCATCATTACCAGGTATAAAAACCGACTGATTTTTGGACTGTGGTTGTAGCTTCCGGGAAAGTGGAGTAGACAGCTGCTCAGTGAAGGCAAGAGGTGATAGATTGGTACGTTAATACAGCACCGTCAGTGGACTATTGAATGAAGGAATCGGGAAGGGAGCATTGAACGCAATAGCTTGAATGCACAAGCGCCATTAAGGGTGAGACTGGGCCATGTCTGACAATGTCTGTAACTACTGATATGTGGTCCTAATCCAGGAAGACGGCAATGACCAGCGCCGCTGAGTTTGCTGGTAATGGCTTAAATACTTCGCTTTCAAGTCCTTGTTTGACTTCCGCTGGCTCGTTTCCACCCTTCATGTGATAATGCGAAAACAACCGCATGACGAAGTTGGCCGACTAGCATACGGAGCACGTGACTAATAAAGCACAACCTGCGCAGTGTGATCGGTTCATCTATCGTGGACGAGTTATTTCTTACGAATATCATTTGAAATACTGTCGTGAAAGCTCAAAAGTTATTTCACATTAGAAGGATTCAGAATTCTTCGTCAAAATAGACATCACACTTTGCTATAGTATGCAAATTTATTGAAAACTGGCCAGAAGGCTCTTGAAATGTCCAGTGCGTTGGAGAAAACTTTTACTTGAGCAAAATAACCCTACGGGGAAATATTAAGTGACCAGCGTAGTTAAACTATTTTGCCCTCCAAATGCGGTTGACTACATAACACGAAAAATGATATGATAAACCTGGTACTGCTTACTAAGAAGACCAGTTTGGATCCGTTAAGCGTTGCACTTTAAATTGGCCTTTAAAGTTGGAGTAGCTCTCTTTCTACAAAGATGGCATATGAAGTAGTTTTAAAAAGAACTGCTCGTCAATGGATAAACAAGGATTGAGAAGCAATTATGAAATGATCGAATGTCATTCCGCACAAACTTATTTAGTAAAATAGAGAAAATGTGCATTAGGTTATACCGTAGCGATAAAGTGCGGTTAGCGCTGATTCGGACGATTAAAACCACAAACAACAGACTAGCTGATTTTTAGAGTTAAAAGCTCCACAACATGTGCACTCAAATGTGTAAACATGTGCAACTAGACAGCAAAACGAATCAGCAACGTCCAAAACCGTTCAAAAGTTCCACACTGAACAACACCTGGTTTCGTGAAGCTCCAAGAAACATACGATTTGGGTAACGCAATAAATGTTTTTCAAAACCCAAATTCAAATTTATCTCACTGATAAAGCAGTCTGTGTAAATCAATATTGTTAATCGGAACTATGGTACACTGAATATTTGTTCGCTGTATTGGAGCACATTTAGCAAAAGATTGACAACGCCAACCATGAAATTACTACTCTTACACGAAGAGTTTTGCGCATAATTAGAAACCCTGTGCGACGGAGGGTTTTCTGTATTATTGTGGACGTGCGGCCGGACACTCCGTTTCTCGGCATACTTATCGCAAGATACCTGACACCTTCACCTCAGAAGTCATCACTCAAACGGCAATGTCGGTACGTGACCACGAGATGTGGTTCCCATGACTAATGAATGAGTGTTGTTGTATGCTGTCTAATTGGGGGCAAACCACACTGTCGGTCAGCTGCTCGGGGCCAAAGATTTGTACTCGACTAGTGGCCTGAAGGTCACTGGTTAGAAACTGTGGGTTTAGTGAAATGCACACTGCTGACGACTATCAACAAACCTAGAAAAATGATACTCATTTGATGATTTTAGACAAGAAATCAATTAGATAAGGATTTTTTCCACTAAACCAAATTGCTATAATTCTCAAAATCTTGGGTGCAAAAACATGACAACATACATAGTATTCATTGCGACTGGGCTTCACATTTGAGGAGAAACGCCTCATCTTACATCTTAATACAGAACAATTTTTTTTAACTTTTTACTGAAATTATCTTCAATTGCCTGCACACTTTTTGTTCTCCTCTTGAACTGAATAAATTAAATAATTCACAATTGCTGTAATTCCTGCTGTTTCCACCAACCAACTTTGCCTATTTTGCTGCTCTTTCTCGCCACAAACTGACAATTTTGGCCCCAATACCTAGCGTTAGCGGAGAGAATACTTTAGTAGACCTCAGAATACAAATTCTTCAACTGATCAGCATTCTACCATGAACCTATTTACCAGTAAACGTGTAGCACTCGGCGGCGCTCAACTAGCTGGAAATTAGCTTTGTGTTTTAAGAACAACGGTCACAAGTTAGATTGGCCAGAACCGTTCTGCTTTTTTATCATCAACAAGCTGTTCAAAACAAGAGTGTCAGGCACAGACAAACTTGGCAGTTGCAAAAATGTATCACGGGCTCATTTCATCTCCTATTGTGATAAGACAGAAGGAGTGACTAAAAGGTGGGAAAATAACACACCAGATAAAAAGTTGCCAATAACTCTCCGCTATCAAAGTCTTACTTTGCCAGACTAAAGTTCCGTTTCTCAGTCTTAGTAAGCAGCTTATCCTATAGAGTGAACAGACAAGGATGTAGCAGGTTTGAGTCCATATTTTGACCTTCCAAGTCTTGAGGCAGTATTTAAACTGGAAGCTGGGATTAAAAGCAAGGTAAAATTCGGCTCTTCCCTGGAAGTGGCCAGAGAGATATTTTTATCTGTGATATATTTTCCCTTCCATTTGGCCATTTGCCATTAAAGTATGTATAAGACTTTGGCCTTTTTAAGCCCATAATCCGGTTAGCATTCAAAATTCCGTGACTACCGGACTAAGAGCAGCTTTCCCAAGCAAAGCAAATTGTTGCAGATTTAAGGCAATCAAAGCGATGGAAGTGTTTGTTCTTTGTATCCAATTTAAGCAAATAAAAAACATGAACATATGCCGCGTTTCCGACTAATCTATATTCTCGCTCGATTTTGGAACGATAAAGCTTTGCATTTGATGCACATAAATTCTATCCCAAGAAACATCCGAGAAGGAAAGTAAAGGGAGTAACTATCATTTCAAAGTATGTCTGCATAAAAGGAAAAGGAATGATTTACTTGGAAACTTCGTTTAAACGGCTAACAAATAAATTGTCCGTTTTCAGAAAACCCAGGGCCCCAGATCACGTTTTTGGATGACTTTGAGGAGACATATGACACACACACAGTGTACGGTCAATTATCGATAGCCAAAATTAGCTTCCCAAGTGCAGTTGTAATCCAATAAGCTTGTATGGCCCCGTTTGCACAGGTGTCTGGTGTATCGCTCTCCGGAAAGTTTGAGGTGTCTTCACCGATTTTAAATTGATACCGAGTGTGCATCCCTATTTTTCCACCCCAAAAGAGCATGCAAAGTACAGCGCAAATTTGGAGCTACCAGACAAATATGTGACATATTAAAGATCAAGCCAAAGACCTTGACCGACAATCTTTCCACCTCCATCTGCGGAATCAGTATTTGTTTTGTTTTCTCTTTAAAGTGCTTTGCCTTAGCTGTCAGAAATGGCCATTTGAGTGCACTATGGAAGATCTAGAAAGATGGCCGTTATTCCAAAAATGCCGTAAAACCGCTGGCAGCTGACATTATCCCCTCAAACAACTATTTGTTCATATCAATGTTTGTCGCCGCGGTATTCCTCAAAACCTTGACGGTACAGGTTTTAAGACGACAGTTGTTGTACTGCTACGTGGAATCTTCCAGGTTCAGGTGCTACTTCCGCACCAGTGCGAATGACGTGGTGACCTCCACTTCTGGGTTTTGGTTGGTTACTAAGTTCATGTATTTGAAAACCTGACCACGTCACAGGGATTTGCCAGACACTCCAAAAAAATTGCATTCACTGAGAATTTTGGTGCCGCCGTCCTTCTCCGCTTTTAAAGCACCTTTTTCTGGGATGATTTCGGACTTTTCTCTCTAGTTCCGTGACATAGGTGTTATGAGATTGTTTATAAACGACTTCTGGTAATTCGACCTCTATATTTGCTTTTTCTGCCCACGCTGTTACGTCTATTTTATATTGATTCATCTTTTCATGCTTTCCATTTGTAAAAAAATAAGCCAATCTCAAGTCCGCTGCGTTCGACTGTTACTTGTACGTGAAAGACCCGGTTAAGAATGGATACATGACGTAAAATTCTACGGTTAGCCTTTCGCAAAAGATACCTTGAGTGTGTCTTTACAGGAGACCACTGTCATTCATAGAACACAGGAAGATGGCTGCAGCTAGGATATCTTATCACAGCAGAGCTTTTCCAGTTCTTTCCACTTTATCTTTGATTCATTGTTTTATGGTAATAGAACTTTGCCTTATCATAATAAGGCTAAGCAAGCATGCGTATTTTTGCCGTGTCCGGATATCCCTCTTGACAGTTGACGTTCCGGTAAAACAACCAATTACGGCCAATGACTCCCCTTATCCATATAGGCCGCATGCCACAAACAAGCAAGTTATAAGTTTCATGTCAACCACCAAAATATTGGCCGCACTTGACTTACTTATTTAAAAGAAAAAACGCAAACAGATGAATCGTGCACATTCTACTCAACCGAAGAAGCTCACGTACTTGCTATGCTATGCAAAAACTCCAAAATATTCATTCGCCATAATTTAACAATGTTGAAAACTTAGACGCTCTCACAGAACATTGTATGCCCGTCACTTACGGCGTTCTTCTTGTTTTTTGAGGATGCTCTTCTTTATCCCGGCCTCCGAATCCATTCCTCAGGTCATCGATGTCGAAATACCCGATTTATTTTGCACGTTAAATATTTGTTATTTTAAATTATCGCCTTTGTTCGACCTTCAGCGTCAATCAATCCCACTGACAATCAAGTTCAACACTAGGCTCTAAATAGAAGATCCCCCGGGCGACGCAGCTCATGGAAAAAGTTTCTCAACTTTACCTACATTAAGCAGGTCCGTGTTCGGCTTGCGGTAGATCAGATGAGTAGTGCACAACCTTGTACTTCTACTTGCTCCAAGTGAACACCAAGTCAACAAGAACAGATGCCGCAAAGGACTTAGGTATCGGGTTCTGTTCAAACAAGTCCTTCTGAATTCCAGTAAACTGGAATAAACTATTGATGCTCCCCATTTCGGGCTTCATTAAACTATTTCCCGTGCGACCTCTAGTGACCTACTATCCATCTCGAATCTTAGCTTAGAACTGACCACTAAATCATCCTGACTAAGCGACTGCAACGAAACATGCTTCGCTTCAAAATCTACATATGTAACGGTAAAAACTACTGATGAGGCATGCAGATGGTGTCTTCTCGTAAATTCACTTCACGTTTCTTAAAGGGTGAGATCTATTACGGAATTTGTGGAGTTGCTTTGTATTATTTGGTTGCATTCGAGTGACAGTCAAGGAATAGCCAGGAACAATCAGGAAGACGCGTTCAAGAAGATGGATGTTCAGTTTTTGTAAACAGTATGCATATGAGAGTTTTGACTCACTGTCCAATAGTCTGTAACTGTTCAGTTGATGTTTCTCTAATAAAAAACTCCGCAACGAAAGTCTTCTTCCTTTCACCCATATTCTCACGGACACCCTAGCTAGGAACTATCCGTGTGCTGTCGTCCATCCTACACGGTTCAAGCTTTATTTTTACATAGGCCCCCAAGTGAACTGAAAATACCAGTTATTTCGCACTGAATTGACTCCACCCGCGGTAATACCCTTGGCTGACCCTAATCTAGATGCCACATGAATGCGCATAACCCGTCTGATCACCGCAGGCGTGACGTTCAGAAATTGGAGTATGTTGATGCAAAGGTGGCATGGCACTGCTATACATTGTACGATGTCACATCCGCTACAGTTACCCCCAATTACTCTGGGTTGAACCCTCTCGCCATTTCGTAACCTTATTTTCTAGATAAAAAACCATCCTAGGGACCGCCCTCTTACAATCCACAACCCCCTCCATTTGAGTTAGCCAGCTTGATACTCCTTCAGTCTGTTCTCTTCACAGTGGTATCTATCAGTCGCTTTTTCGCGAATCCCCGTAACTAACAATCTCCATTTTTATATATGATGACCCTGACCATAAAATCAAATTTCCACGGCCATGCAGCGACAGCAACCGTTTTCAGTGTTAGTTCAGGTCAACCCGATGGCTCGCTGCCGTAATCCCGCTACTCCATATTCGTTCTCTTCTCTTATTTTTCGCATTTTACAGCTTTTTAACACGCGCCTAGATAAACCAAATAGTTTTATCCTCCACCTTTGTGTTGTTGCCCGCCATCCTCCAAATGTAGCGGTCCAATCCTGCTTGAGGTGTTTCCAGATAGCTGGAGAAAAGCTGACAATATTATCCTTCATCCCTTAATTTCCAGTGTACTTTGATCATGCTGGTTTATGCATGATCTTATCTGTGTTCGACAAAATCCACCATTTATGCGGCTGCTCGGCTTTTGCACTTTGCTTCGCACCAACAACTGACGTCCGCTGTGCCAATAATTTGATTTTACCATCATGATCATACCAAAGTCATGCCAGCCACCATTTAAAAATAAACCTTCTCTTTAGTTACTTTGCTGCACGCTAGTCCGATCATTCCTTTACCAATCCTAACTAGCCTAATAAACGCATTTGATTCTGTCAGGGTGTTCGCATGCGTAACTTTCGATTAACTCATGTAAAACTTCGCGATGTCGGTGCCGCGACCACCGAAACCAGTCTGGTGGCTTGCCCGTAGTTCAGCGTATCTCTGATAATTCTCGGACAACCCAGTTACATGCACGCTCAAACTCGTCTAATTCGGGTAAATTAATTTCAAAACTCCGAATCACCGGAATCGCAGTGATCTGTCCAGTAATTCTGTCCATGAACCCATCAATCAATTTTATGACGGCAGTCTGGTTGCATGCATTGTCAGCATATTTGCTGCCCTGATAAGCCCAATTAACGGACACACACCAAGCTAAAGAAGTGTATTTACCCGAAGTCTAGTCACCCATATCCACTTGGTGGGGAACCTCCTTCTCGGCTATGTCTAAGTGCTTTTACCCTATTCGTTTTGTTACTTTTGGCTTGCGCTGACACCCGATGGCTATTCTTGCGGCAACCGTTGGTTTTAGTTCAAAACTATAAGTGTAAGATCCGGGCGGTTACGGATCTCACAGGGTGATTGCGGCTATTTGATTATACGCAGCTCGTAGCTAGTAGTCAATAGCCAGTAGTCAGACAGACGTGGGGCAGAAGATGATATACTGAGGACTGACAGGAACTGGTCCTACAGACAAAGGGATTGGTAAGCATCATGAATTAAGCAAACGTACAATCAACAATGACGCAATCTGCAGGAGCGGGAAGTAGTCACTGTCACAGCACGGATTTCTATAGGGTCAACTACAAGTAAGTACCAAACGATGTACAAACATACATATAGGGGCAGTCTGATAGTGTGAGTTGGCCGTAACGGCGCAGGAGTCAGCACGTTCGGGATGTGAGGGACCGTCTTTCGGTCGGCGTCGACGCAGCCGCTCATGTCGCGCGACAGGTCAGATTACCGGCTTCGTCCGTTTAAAACAAAGCTCAGCAAAGGCTATCTGGCAGGCGTGATACACGGGTAATACAAAATAATCAGCCACCCCGGACGTCAGGGCGGTGCAGTCTGTAGCGCGTTTGCTTGTCGTCCGGAGGGTCCGGGTTCGATACCCGGTCTGCCCGCTTTTCCGTCGGAGTGGGCGCACGAAACTAGGTGCAATCGAGGCGAACTTGCAGGCAATGAGAGACGGGCAACAAAATACTGACATCACTTACTAAGGGATAAGCAGACCTTAAGTAGGAAAAACGGGGGGGGGGAACGAGCAGCAAGAAAACGAAACGGTGTCATAATAAACAAGTGTAAATCATGTTACTCATGAGTAGTCAGAAAACAAGGAAAGTTACCCTTGTTCACCGTTGATTCACAGGGGGAATCAACAGTAAGTTTTTATTTTTAACCAGCTACCTTTGCTGATTCCATCACACCAAAATCACTTTTCCTTTATTCTTAATTTTCCGCCGCACCACCTCAATTATAACTGTGTTTAACTGCCCGGGGTCTGGGTCCCGCCTACTGGCATTTTTATACGACGCATTACCGAGCATTTCCTGATGGCATGCCTCTTTATGTCTCTTCTCTGTCGCTGTGCTCTCCCCTGAAGGTATGCCACCCATTAGTTTTGAATGAAAGTTATAATAATACTTTGACAAAATAAAAAAATTCGGCTGGACGGAGTCCGACTTAAATTATTCAAAAAAATCGTCCACCAGTGAACCTGCCCTATGGACTTCTACGAATTTATAGCTGAATCATTCTGGATTTTCACAGTGCATCTGTGTCCTGCACACCCAACTGCGAAGAATATAACTAACAATTCAAAGCCAGTAACCTTGGGGAGATGAAATCTCCTTCCTACCTACAATCAAACGCACCTACAATAACTATCTGCGGAATATTTTTAGCTGCATGTGCTGGCACGCACAGCGCTTGCGTGAAACGCATTGCTTCATGTTTATGCCGCTGGCTCATAAGTTACCACCGACAAGTGTCGATCGCTGCAACCCGACTCAATCGAGTACTCAAGTTATACATTCTTCACTCACTACATTTTAATACGCTGTTTGGGCAAACACAAGCTGCCAAATCTCCGGTTGACTGATAACAATCCGGTTGATTCAGAACTCAAACAAGCTTAATAGAACTAAATCTCACAGCAACTGCTAGCTGATTTGATGTCTGAAGATGTTGACACCTAAGGCCTCACATACCGATGAAACTCCTGATTCGTATTTCACTTTATGCTCATCTCTACTGACTCAGTTATTTTTCCCTATCTTTGGGCTTCTACGCCCAGAAGACTTGAGCTTCGTTCGTTTCAACAGGGTTCCACTCTTAGCTCTGTCAGACCTATCTAGAGCCTGGCACCTTGCTTTGCCAACTTAAAACTAATTTTAACCAAAATGAGGCAGTGGTTCTTCACTTTCATGAACATCGCAGCGCAGCGGATGCATATGCCTGCGAAAACTGACTGAGCTGTTTCACTGGCCTGGCTTTACACCCAACCGGATGAAATATCTGGTAGCCGGAGTTCTTTGTTAATACGCAAGCCACAATTATGACTGTGTGGCGGCTTGCCAAATTGCTGATTTTAGCTTATATGAGAGATGAAAACCTTGTGTGGCGGTGTGTGTGGTTTCTGTGCATTGCGCCACGGTGCGTTTGCATATCTGCCAAACTTCCTGTAGCACGGTTTTTTTGCACATCGCCCGGTGGCTCCGAAACTAACCTTTAATTCAGGAAATGCACAAAAGTACACCGTTGTTGTGTGTCGATAGCTGATTCGCAACTTCCAGTGCTTTCATTTATCTCGCAACGCCGCGGAATATAAGTGAAAAACAGCAGCGCTTTCGTCTGACTTTAGAAACTCATGGGGTAGCCTGAAGATATTCTTGCGAGGCTCATGGCTAACAAAGTCGTGCATGACTGTTGTCGCCTTCCTATTAGTTGCAGTTGCACCACTCTATGCTCACTTCATCAGACAGATACCACACACGCTCACTCCTTTTATCCCTAGAAAAATCACATACAAATAAGGGCCTTGTTATTTCGTGAATAACAGCAGTCATAGCCAGCGTCTTTTGGATATTTTCGCCATGCACCGCAATTTGCTTGGAGCTGACAGCAGTGAAACAATGACATGCGAAACACAATATTTTCTATCCAGTTCACGTAGTTGCCCACGGTTAGCTTCCAATATCTCCATCATCTCGGAATCACCCCCTCAACCGGTTATTATCTGTCTGCAGT